TCCGCGACATCCCCAGTCGAATGGACTTGCTGAAAATGTTGTCCGAACACTAAAGTCTGCCATTATTTCACTCTCTCCCACTAATTTTGTGGAATTGGACCGTGGGATTGATAATTTTCTAATGTAATACAGGAACGCCGTCCATTCCGTTACTGGGAAGAGTCCTGCGCTTCTATTTAAATCTCGTTCGTTGCATACAAGTCTCGACTGTGCCAAAACGGCTGATGTTACATTTTTCAAGGGTAATGATTTACGACCTGCAACAGGAATATTACTTTCATCAAATGGCAAACGAATGGTCACAATTCTCGATTTGGATGATCTCTCTTGTCATTGACCAGGTTGAGTTCAATACCAGAGGTCAGTCTGTTAACGGCACTCCTGCTGTTTCAAATACTAATGAGCCCTTTGTAGATGATCTTATGGTATCTGAACAAAACGTATCTGAAGAACACAACCTGTGAAGAGTCTGAAGTTTCCATTCTAAGAAGATCCGAAAGATTGCGGTCAAGACCACCAGTGGACTATAAACATCCACACGCTCATTCAAGGTGTGGCGGATTTGATGAACTTGACTGATACTCTATTCGTTGCTCTATTCATTATCCTCTTGTTATAATATTCTATATGCTGTACATATTCGCCAATTCGAATATATACGTGCTGGTTGTTACGCTTCGCTGAATTCTGGATTTCTAGTTCGTCTGGTTATACCGATATACGTACAAAACTCAATTCTCACAAGAATACTAGTGGGCAAATAAAGTACCTCGGCGTTTGTGTTGTTCTGATTGTTATGAATGCTCGAGGGGTTGTTCGAAGATCCTGGAGAAGCAGTTTTACTTCGGTGAATATCCCCATTTTCTAGCTGATCCGGTCGACATATACCCTGGTCTTGTGTGGGCCGTTCAAACTCCATTGCTTCCTAGAGAAGAAGAAATGGTACACAGTAGTGTAAATTTTTTATGAGCGAAATATCCAAAATCAAAAGGCCAAAGTGACCGTTCAAGGCCATACGTTCTAAAACCGCTAGAAGCGGAATCAAGATCAATTTCACAACACTTTCACTATTGACCTTGTCACGCCGTAGTCCAAAATGACTAAAACGAATCTGGCGATAGCGGTGAAAACTGTCAAACATGCGTGGACTCGAATCGACAATGCCATTCAATAGTTTCAGGCGTTGTTGTTCGAAAAGTTCGGAGATAAGAGACACACAAGGTAAATTAACGCTTAGGCTAACCATATGTGGCACAGGCACCGAAATCAACTGTGTGATCCAACAAACACCAGGGGCTTCGTGCGTCTTTTATGCGTTGGAAAAAATCCAAGTATTGCACTTCAGTTAAATTCTACATCTGACTACACGCACTATATATTCGACTTCGAGAGAGTTGCTGTAGAAAGACCCTAAAAAGTAAATCATAGTCTCCCTAATAATGGATTTCTCCCAAATTCAGCAGTGTAACAATGCAAAGTTGCAGTATCACCTTACTTACGACCGTACTTGGGGCATCAACGAAATCCAGGAAATCCTTCAACTCTGAAAGTAAAACAACAAATCTGGTTGAAAGACGATAAACCACGTAAAGTAGGGCTGTTCGGGTAGTAGCTCAACCACAAAGTGATAAAATAAGGTTTCCGCTAAACGTGAGTAGCTGGGAGACGCATTCAACATATAGTTTAGAGAAGCCGCCGCGCTTACAAAGCGGTTAGATCAAATTATCATATGCAAGACATACTGGAAATCATGTGTGCAGGCTGCTGAAAACACTCCAAAAGTCAAAAGGCCTGTTTACCAAAAACTCATAAGTTCAATAAGACGACAGTGGGGCTAATTAATCCCTTTTGTTTTTCGCAACTTAACCAAAAGCTATTGCCCCAAAATCCTGGACTATTTCGCTAATGATAGATCTATTTGTCATCTGAGCATGTAACAGACTAGCAACCAGGATATCTGTCCTGTAGAGGAAGTCCAGCCGAGGTGAAACCCTGTAAGAATATAGAAGTGAAGTTACCTGGGTAAGTCACCGATAGATCGACTTGAACTGGACGACCTGACCGATCAAGATTGTCCAAAATCGCTAGTTGTGCTAAGGCGCCCAAAACAGTTTGTCGATAGTCTGCGAGGTGAAGAAATAATAAAGCAAAAGGCGTACAAAGAAAGGCAGGTGAATACAGCCGTGATGTAGCGAAGAATTCAACATATCACTCAGATTATCTGGCAAGCCAGAGTAACAGCAAATTACTCTGTATGATCGCATTTATGCTTGCCTGTTTTTACAGACTTGCGACAAAACAAAATCCCAGAGCTAAAGGGACTGTGAGGCGCTAAACTGATAAAATAAACGGGGAACAAAAGGTCTGTGTCATTTTAAACATGTGAATGGTGTTGGAAACAGGTGAGCACGTGATGAGCAGTATGGAGTTCTGCTTCTTCACAGTCACGGGCATTAATAGGGCCAAACGAAAAACGAATGTTACAACCGGAAATAACTGACACAGCTAGAAAAGGTGTTAGCGGCTTCCGAAACAAGCATAAATTCAGTGGTATTGTCTCCCGGTAATAAGAAATAATACCACGCACCCGTTTCACAAGCGCGATAGCACATATGACCAAGCAAGATGGCAGCTACAGTGCTGGAAGTAAGTGCTTGACCACTATGCACACAACAGCTAGTCGAACGACAAAGGAACGAGGGACCGAGAGAAATGACCTAGTTTAATTCTACCGCAGGAATCTACAGGCGTCAACATACTTGCAATCTCATCCAAAAAACCTGGAAAGGACCTGATTGGCACCAAATTTTCAGCAATGAACTTACCTCCGACTGAACACAACGGGTTGTTGAAGCAAGCCTGTGGATCGGCAAGTGTTAGTTGCCGGAGGTTTTCCAATCCGGAGATATGTTGAAGCAAGTGCTCGACAGAGTTGAGTCGGTTTCCTTGGAGCTGAAGCACAGTGAGATTGTAATTTCGTCCATGCAGAGCTCTCAGTCCCGCTAGGTCATCGATCACGTTGAAGGACAGATTCAGGTTCACTAAAGATCTGCATATAGGCGAAAAATACACTGATGCACAGAATGTGAAAATAACCAAATACTCAATGCATTGCAGACTATTCTGTGACCCCAAATTAAATTTGGTGATGCCTTCGATAAACATGCCAAGCAAATGTTGTGAAGTAAGGCGATATCATACAACCAACATATTCAACCGACATTTTCACAGAAACCTGAAAAAGTCATCCTGAAAGTAAGGCTAAAGGCTCTGAAACCGTGCTTACTGGTTTATCTTGTTTGAAAGTCGCAAATGGTGCATTAAAGTGAAAGTTGAACAGGTTTCCGGTCCTGATGTAAAATACATACCGACCCTTATATACAATAACACTAACGTCCGAATACCGTATCTTAAGGTACGACCAATCGAACCTACATACTTCATTTCACATAACTTGCTTACGATCGACGAACTAACAGTGCCTTTATAAACAGGTTAGATATATCAGTTTTACCACCAACTGTTTTTCGTATTGTTAAAGATTTGATCATACTGAAAGCGATAAACTCACAAGAAACCCAGTTAAACGTTTAAATAAGACATCACAGAAATTGGACATTCCGTTGAAAAACTTATGGAAGAACACTAAACAAGATAACGCACAAATTTAACTTCAAGTTCATGTCAATTGAAACATAACTTTAACAAATGTAAATCAAACCTTAATTGCAACGATTTAGGTTATTTACCGGTACGATAAATCGTCCAGTGACACCAGAATAGCGTTCAATGTAATTCCGATTGCCGTCCATTCGGTGCTATTGGAATGCATTAGGCTAGCTAGGATTTCGAACCGTTCTAAAGCAATTCTTTACCGGAAAGTATCTCGTAACTACGGCAATCAAGGAATTGGTGACGTATGGTCATTTCAGCTTCCATATCCAAGTTACAATGATGGAATATGCCTCAGTAATGAATGTTCCATTTTCGTGGGGAATATTCTCATATCACTCTTTTTGCCGTGGCGAGGATCGACAATGGAGATGAAATTGAGATGGGCCTCACGACTTAATAAATTCCAATTTTCTATACATAGAATGAATTTATCATGCCTTTGCATAAAACGTGTCCTCCCATACCGACAGCAGAGTATGCGCTTCCTATTTCCAAGATGGAGATTGTCTGCTACTTGGGTAGCACGCATGCTTATCTTTTGGGTTACACAGACTATCGAGAGTTACTGAACGGTGACGGGCACAGTATGTCCTGTAAAATCCGTTCTCGTTGTTGGGTCATTGTTGGGCTGAGTACGGTCTAGAATGAGGAGTATTTTCGCTTGCGATGAAACTGCTTTAAAAATGCCAGTACTCGGAAATTCCAAATCCCCCAGATACCATAACATTCACCGACGGAAGATACAATGCTCCGCATGAAAAGACCTCTGTAAACTACGCATAAACGCCTACGCTTCTTGTCACCAAGGCTGATATATCTCCCGATAAGTATTGTCACTTGTCAATTCCGAATGACCGCAGCTGTTAGCATGCACTGTTCATAGATACTCGAGTGATCATCAATAGAACTAACTGGTCAAACAGGCGCTACACGTAGTGCCACCAACTAATTTCGAAGACTCATTGTAAAAGTTCTACACCCTAGAGTAGTCGTTTTAAAACCCCGTAGTCACCCAGCCAGACCTAAGCGTCCAATACTAAGATCTCTTCAGTAAGATCTGTTAAATCGGTATCCACATTTGATTTGAACAGTATCTCATAAAGACGCACTTTCCAATGACATGCCGGACCTACTTTAAACTTCTAAAGCAGTTTATGACTTATCACTATGAAGACAGGCTCTGAAACTTGTGTATTTTACAAAAAGCATACACAAGTAGAACAGTCCTCCGGAAGCGTGTTAGGCGACAACTTCATGTATGCGTAAACTATACGTTGTAGAAATCTGTTTGTGTGGGTGAACTTTCAACAATCATACACGCACTTCCAAACCTGAACTACAAGATGCAAGCATTCTTGAACCCATCTGTCATCAACTCGCACAATAATGTTGTCAGCTGGTAATCAAGCATGGAGAACCGATTTGCGAATGATGAGTAAGAGAACATGACACCTAGGAGTCAGGAAGGATAAATATAAGTCAATGAGTTTAACAACTGAAAGCATAAGGGATTTAGGAAGACCCATACTGTTTCATGGCCAATGTTTTTTGACAAAAAGGGGATAGCTCCTGGCAACGTGAGAGGTGGATGCTATATAAATGCCTGGAAGAAGCAGGTTGAGCGAGATGACTTCTGGAGTTGAAATGAGAAGGCGAGTTCTCAAGAAATTTACATTGGTAATGGCAATAAGCAGGAGGGAAGAAGCGCTCAAACTTTCAAAAATAGAAGGGGCATAATCTCAGGTAATACAACTAGATTCCATTATGGAACAGACCTCCGACTTACAAAGGAGAAAAATCTTGGATGGTAGGTAGTTTTTGTGATCGGATGACGAACTCAACTTCAGGAAAGCCCAGCTGGAAACTATTTCGAATAGAGACAACCAGGTAGGATGGCCACCTAACGATGAGTTCAGAAGTACACAGGCCAAAAATTGTGTAGTGGTTGAAGCGAGTCATGTGAGTAGGAACGGATGCAAACAAGTTGGGGCAAATTATTCCAAAAGCCGGTTTTGTGTTTTCTCATGGTACACATAGGATTGTCCCAAATCTGACAAGGTAGACTAGCGAGAGCAGAGGTGGATATTTGGTTTGCCATTGTCTAAAAATATATGCGTGCTGCAAGAAACTGGGTGAGTCGCTATTAAACCGAAGAGAGGCGGGATATGACAATGAGACCTTGAAACTCTTGCGTTGACGCTGAGGACCACAGAAACAATGCCAGTGAAGCAAACGTACGACAAACGGTCCTTTGAAGGAATTCCAACTAACGAGGTAAACAACACACGTGAAGTTTAGCAAGAAGGACCGTATGCCCTACTCGGTTGGGAGCTGGCAAAACTCGAGGCATACCAATCCATTTCTGGTCAAAAAATTAAATCGGACTGACAAGATTGGGAAGCATGCGCTACCAGACAACCGGTAACGCGTTTGAACTTGAGCCTAAATTTAATGTTTCTCTGGTGCGTACAACTTTCAAGGTCGTAGATCAGACAACATTGATCTATGATGGATGCAGATTGTCCAATAAACAGCTGCAACAACAAACTGACGCATTATATACAACTTTAAAATGTCTTACATGTCGAACAAGTTAGCCCACAATTCGAGTTCAGCACCACAGAATTTCTCTTTCACAGCAATTAAGTGGACTGCCGACGCACAAAAATGGTGCGGAAACTTATCTACCACAGTTACGGTGCTGATAAAGTTGCCTAGATTCACTGTTTCTACACAGCCTTGAAAGACTTGAGTACATCGATGCACACTACGAAGCTTTTGCAATAGAGAATCGGCTGCATGCCCAATATGCTGTTGGCAAACTAATTCTTAATCCACAGAGGGTAGAACTTGACGCAGTGCACTAAGCTGCGGAGGGCCAAAAACTCCGGATGCTCACATCCCCTGAAACCACACACAACACTACATTCAAAAAGTATGTAACCAATAGGTACCAAACCGAAGAAAGATAGCAACCATTTGAGTGACATGATGGATAGAGAGACACATGGTCTACGGACGAACAAACGGATGGAGAGGCAGACATAAGAGCTCAATATTTCCTGTCGTAAGCAAGAGCGGATACAGCACGTCTCCGATGGATGCGCGGATTCGTAACAAAATAACAGCCATCAAGAAATACGGGCACCGAACACAAAAAAGGATGGTTATGCTCGGGCGACTGTATGGCTCCGGTGGTGCTTGATCAAATACTCATTGATCTGTTCGCCAAGCACGACGATTAGCTTCCATATATTTTGTCTTCAACTGAAGTGACATATCATCACATAACTGCCCACTGATGTCACCTCGACAAGTTGCTTTCAAAATACTCACAATCACTCGCGAACGCACCCGAGCTGCCAACGTAACGGCGTACAATACTGGTGAGGCACGTAAATAGACTGTGGTCATGTCGAAACACCGCTCCGCGTATTATGGAAGGTGAAGTTTATTACAGAACTTGTGGAACTGCTTTGCAGTGTTCGTTTACGATTGTGATATTCAATGAATATCTATTAAACTGTACAGGAACACGTGAAAATGTTGTCTCTAGAACCTGAGTGAGTACAAGAAGTTCACTTTTCTGTCCAATAGGTTGTAACTACTTGAACGTTTTTTTCCGATAAACGATTTTGCAGCATGAAGCTCCCCTAACAGATAGCCCGATTAAGTTCCACCTGTTCAACAAAAACAGTTACCAAGGGCGTCTCGTAAAATACCCTAGCACTAACTTGAAGATCGCTTACAAAACATGGACTGCGGTCTGAGGGAGGAGCACACACATAAATAAAGCTTTAAGTAACTTTTCAGAGCACTTAAACAAGTGCATCACCACACTTTGACCGCTTGATTGCAAGATGACCCCCAACCTGTTGTCGTCGATACACAATTTTCCCACTGGTGGAGCCAGATTATCCGTCCTTGGAACGCCTACTATCTAAAATCTGCCCCGTTGAGGTACTTCAGGGACTGGCCCTGTGGTCTCTGCTTATCACTTTTAAGTCAGCGATCCAATTAGTCATGCCAGTTGCCTTTCTCTGACCCGAAAATCTGGTGCCAGCCTGACAAAATCGATGACCGCAACACACTGCAACAGTACGCCAACAGCAAACCCCAGAACACCTGACAGGCAGAGGATAAAAATATTTTGCGGTACGATATCTTGGTAAGTTCATAGATAAGGACAAAGGCGTGCACCATAAAGGCCTACAACCGTTCGTTGCATGCAGCGAACACGTGGTCTTCAGAACCCCGACCACTAACGCTGCGAATTGCAATAGTCACTGGTATATGCCGGGCCAGATGACTTTTTGCACGCGCTCCATAGAGAAAACCAACTCGGACATATTAAGAATCTTTTATCTGGCATGA